TGCTTAGGTGGTGGTAGTGGAGAAAATGTCAAATCATTCAGTCTCTGCAGGCACAGGCTTCCTACTATAACAAAGTTGTTTACCCTAAAGTTCAATATCAGCTTCTCATTGTTATTCTAATGAATCACTATGATATAATACAAGTTTTCTACCTATAACAAATACTTGATAAATAGGAAAAGCAGGAATTTGGATTGGATCTATAGCATTGCTAATGATAATAAGGTTTAACACTGTTCTCCTGAAGTTCATCCCAGAGCAGAGGGATTATTAGAGCTACAAAGCAACGGCCACATCCCCACCCGCACGTATACATAGAGCCTTTCATGTATAAATGAAAAGTCACTGAAGCATTATTATAACTAAAAACATTTGCAGCTTATAATTTGTATTAATGATACCACTGGTTTCTTTGAAAAATTCATGGATGAAGTTTACTACAGTTAGAGTTAGCTTATTTGAGATCAAATGTGTTGCCAGGGGGAACAATGACAATTTTTAAAAGAATATGTAGTACATATTCAGTATTCACGAAGTTTGCTTGTTTCTACTACTTTTTAAAACTGACTTAAATTTAAAAATTTTTTTGTCCAAATAGTGGACTCTTGCTACAAAATCAAGATATCAAGTTGACAGATCAAGAACTGTACCAGCTAGTTCTAGGAGGTGAACAATATATAATGTTCCACTCACAAAACCTTATTTCACAATATACTCAGCTGAAGAGGTTCTGGTAAAATAGCAAAGTAACACTACCTTTTAAGATTTGTTGCTTAGATTTCTATTTCTGGTAATAAAGCAGATTAAGTGAACACTTAAATTCCTTGCTACATTACATTTAGAAACATGACATGACTAAAAGAAACCATCTTTTTACATGCATAGCTGACTTCCAGGTTCAAGTGAGAAATATTAGCTCAGTGGCCTGGGCTTTGAATTTATATTATCTTTGTCCAAGAAAAAAGCTCATCTCCACCACCTTTCTAGAGCTATATGCCTCTTCCTGCACTGAAATTCTACAGGTAATACTGAATACTCAGACAACAAAGAACAGAATTAGGATCCCAAAAACGTCAGAAAATGAAAACAGATACAAGCTCTGAATATTTCTAAAGAATAAATCTAAGAAACAGTATCCTCTAAAATACTGAATACTCACACAGCTGTGTATAATTACTGTTCAAAAACATTGTCATGAATACCTGACTAGTGTAAAGTTTTCATTTCTACTACTCACTCCACCCCCAAATTAAGTTTGATTTTAGGTTTTATATAATTCTAATAATTTCAATTAGATTTTCTTTTGTAATATAACATGATTCTAAAATTTATCTGGAGGTCAGAATGGGCAAAAATTGGGCAAGCCAATTTTTAAAAAAGAATGAAAAATTAGCATAATTAAAACTAAAAATTTTAAATATGATAGTAGCTATCAGTATTAAGATTTTATCCAATACTTCTATATAAATAAGTGTAACTGTATATACTACATGACTAAGGATTTTTGTCCTACAGAATTACTTGGAAAAAAGATACCCATCAATAGAGTATGAGTTAATTTGTGGCACATTCATACCATGAAATACTGTCCAGTAGTTAAGAATGAAGTGGTTCTGAATATACTTACATGAAATACTATCTGATATATTAAGTAAATAAAAGCAAATTTTTAAAAGTTTGTATCATATCTCTTAGGCACAGAATGAAATTATTAATGGGAAATATCTGGAAGGATATATCGGAGCCTCCACGTTTTCAAAATATATATTTCTCTATTGCTTGTTTTTCACTGTGCACATGCTGCTTTTCAAAAATACTTTCTAAGAATGCTTCTGAGTCAGTTAGTTTAACAGGTAAGGTATAGAGGCCTCCTGAAACATCAAGGGGAAAACGCCAAAAAGGATGTGATAAATTCAGGAAAGAAGGGAGAAATACGAGCTAGGAGCAAGCAAAATCAAGTGGAAATACGTTGGCAGGAATTAGTCGAGATTTATCAATCATAATATAAAGAAATCAGTTCAATTCCACTAAACATGAGGACTGAGATTTTTTAATTCAACTTCAACTATATGTATGTTTTTGTATGTTTTCCACAGGGAACACCTCTCAAAGACAGACAGGAAGACTAAAAATAAATGGATGGCAACTCTCCCTGGATTATGCTAAAAGAGAAAAAAGCTAATCCCAAAATGTTATTTACTAAATGATTCCATTCACATAATACTTTTGAATTGGAAAACAGAGGGGTGACTGGGTGGCTCAGTTAAGTGTCCAACTTCAGGTCATGGTCTCACAGTTCTTGGGTTCAAGCCCTATGTTGGGCTCTGTGCTGACAGCTCAGAGCCTGCTTTGGATTCTGTGTCTCCTCCTCGCTCTGCCCCTCCCCTGCTCATGTTCTGTCTCTCAAAGGTTAAAAAAATTTTTTTTTTTAAGAAATAGAGAACAGATTGGGGGTAGACATGGGGAGAGAGCAGGCAAGTGATGGATATAGTTAGAAAGAGGCAAAAGAAGGTTTTGGCTGATGCTCAAATTTTCAAAAGGGACAAACTTGTAGAACTTAATACACACACATACATGGAACCTGGAAATCTAAATAAGCTTGGTAGATTGTATCAATGTTCATATCCTAGTTCTGATATTACATCATTTTGCAAAATGTTGGCACTGGAGTAACTGGACAGACACAGGCAATACCAAATATAAGTAAGGCTATGGAGGAGCTATAATTCTTACAGACTGCTGGGGGGGTATAAGCTGTTTCAATCACTCTGGATAATAACCTGTGCATATCTACTCTATGGAATATACCCAATAGCAATGCATATGTGTGTTCACCAAAAACCATGAATAATGATTCATGGCAGGTAACAATGACAGAATGGATAATTCATAGTATCCTGACAAACAAAAATTGACACATTACTGCTTTGTACAGCAGCATGGATAAAAGAATGCTAAAGAAGCTTAAAAACTGCAGAAAGACCTACTTTGTCATTCAGTTTAGATAAAGTTAAATAAGAATAAAATTAAAACTTGGGTTACCCTTGGTAAAAGACTGGTAAGTGAAAATTCAAAATGTACACTATTTTAAAACTAGATTGAAAGAAAAATACCATGCAACTATAAACAAAAAGAGACTCAAGATTAAAACAAATGAGATACAATTCAACACAAAATATATTAAATGATGCCAACAAGAATATTTTAAGGTAATAGAAAATGCAAACCTCCAAGAAGAGAGAATACTCAGAAATCTAACTTGATGAAGTTACATACTAAAAGCAAGATTTGGATTTATAATTAAAAGCTAGATTTGAATTTATAACCCAAATGTTCTACAAAGAAATTCTCCTATAATAAAGCAAACTCCAATATCTTTTATGAATACAGATATAAAAGTTCTGAAAATATTAGCATATCAAATCCAGTAGTAAGTGAAGATGATCAATCAAACCCCAAAGATTCCACAAGAAAGTTCTAAGATATCAATTCAGCAAAGCTGCAGGATACAAAAATCAACATATAAAAATCAGTTGTAGTTCTATACACTGACAATAAAGAATCCAAAAGTGAAATTAAGAAAATTCTATTTACAAAATAGCATCAAAAAGAATTACTTAATCATAAACTTAAAGAAATGAAAGACTTGTATGCTGAAAACTACAGAACATTGCTGTAAAAAGTTAAACAAAGGAAAGGCATCCTGTGCTCACGGACTGGAAGAGAGTGGTTAAAACTCCCAAACTACCCAAAGAAATTACAGAGTCCATGTGATCCCCATTGCAATCCCTCTCAAATTCCCAAAGACTTTTTTTATATGCAATAAATCATAGAGAGGCAGAACAATCTTGAAGAAAAAAAGGTTGGAAGACACATTTCCTGATTTCAAAAGTTACTATCTACAAAGCTACAGTAATCAAAATAGTAATGGTACTGGCACAGAGACAACTATGTAGACCAATAGAATATAAGAGAAACAAACCCCCACATCGGTCAAGTGTTTTCAATAAGGATGCCAGGACCATTCTTTAACAAATGGTTCTGGGAAAGTGAATAGCTGCATATGAAAGGATAAGTAGACCATATACAAAAAAAAAAACAATAAAATTCAAGGGGAATGCTTCATGATACTGATTTGGTAATGATTTCCTGAAATATGCCAAAAACACATGCAGTAAAAGAAAAAATAACTGGAATTCATCAAAATTAACAACTTCTGTGTATCAAAGGGCTCCATAACAAAGTGAAAAGGAAACTCGTGGAATGGGAGATACACTTGTAAATCATATCTGATAAGGGACTGATATCCAGAATATATAAATAACTTCTATAACAACAAAAGCAGATTGAAAAATGGCAAAGGACTTAAATGGATATTTCTCCAAAGAAGATACATAAATGGCCAGTAAGTACATAGGAAGGTCCACATCCTAATCATTACAGAAATCCAAATCAAAACCACAATGAGGTACCACCACACACCGATCAGGATGGCTATTATAAAACAAAACAAAACAAACACCAGAAAATAACAAGTCCTGGCAAGGATGTAGAAAAACTGGAACCCTCATGCACTGCTGATGAGAATGTAAAATAGTGCAGCCACTGTGGAGATGGTATAGTGGTTCCTCAAAAGTTAAATATAGAATTACTCTATGACCTAACAAATCCACTTCTTGGTATATACCCAAAAGAACTCAAGGCAGGGACTTGAGCAGATATTTTGTACATCCATGTTCACAGTGGCATTTTTCACAATAGTCAAAAGGGGGGAAGTGCCCCTTCCCAACTGTTTCACTCACGCTCTCTCAAATAAATAAACCTTTAAAAACAAAAGAAATATATAATGCTCAATAGTTTACTTCAGATTAAATGACTTTTAAAAACTACGTATGAGTGATTTAAAAAAATTTCCACATTTAAACAAACTTCTGTAAACTATCTACACTATTCATTTGGCACACAACATGCCCTTATACTTACAAAAGCATCACACATACCTGTTGCAATGACAGGATCTTTCATAAGCTCCCTAGTTATTGGACATAGAAATTCATCAGGAATTCCAGAAGAAAGGGTTTTCACTTCTGTCCTGAGCTCTTCTATTTTCCTCAGCACTTTACTCCGCAGCCCTAGAGATTCTGAAAAGAAATTACTCTGTTAGGGTGGGGGAACCTTTATGCAAGTCTTTAGCAAATAGAGACTTTATCTATTACAACTCAAAATCTTTGCACATACTGTCTGACCACATAGAATGGTTTTCTTTATAAATTCTTTAACAAATATTTGTAGTATAGAATACCGTGTGGTTAAAATAAATCAGTAACTAATATTGAGTTTATTCTAAACAAGCTTAGATTCTCAAAGTTTGAGAATTTCAGGCTGCTAAATACTAAAATACCATACAGCCTCAGAAAAGGTTTGTTATTACTGGTTATGTATTTAAGCAAAAAAATTCCTAAGAATAATTTTAAACATGTTCAGTTTAATAATGTAAAAAATTCCATCTTATTTTTGAAATTGGATATATTATTTGCTGATCTCATATGAAACACAATCATAAACCTCATCTGTTTGTCCCAGGCTATATACACGTTTCACTCATTTGTATTTTTACTTCAAGTTTTAAAAATTACCTTCATTATAACTGCCAGAAGCTGAATATAATTAATTTTAGGAGGTTTAGTGTTATTAGCTGTTTACTTTTTTAGAACTGACAGTTCTACTTTAGATGGAATCATGAAGGTGGGGTGGGTAGAAGAAATGAATTACATTTCACAACACCTCACAGTTTTCATGGAAAGCCAAATCAGCTTTTAATTTTGTTGGGGCGTAATTCTTCACAGCGTTTATACACATCTTATGATGACTTTTGTCTCGGCAATCTTTTCAAAGATGTTTGCAGATGTTTGCGTCCCTCCCAGTCAGAGGGCAGATTTGTTCTGTGACATGTACCAAGATAAAATTACTTTTGGGCTAGGTTTGCTAGCAATCTCCTTGAAAGATGAAGGAGATTCATGAGCTCAGGGTACCTCTGCTATGTCTTGCCTTCAAGACTCAGGGGGAAAGAAAACCCATGAAGCTCATGCTGCTTGCTGTGCCTTGAGGAATACACTGTTTAAACCTATTCGGATTTGTTGACCATCATCTATGGAAGTGTGGCAAATCAACCCAGCAGCTGCCTGCCTCTGAGGGACTATGGCACTGCTTGCCTAGGAATTCTTTCCCATGTAATTTACTGAAACCAAACTGAGGAGTTTTTAAACAGTTTTTTAAAAGCACCACAGCATATTTATAAGAAGAAGTCATCTCATTTAAAGGGATAATTATACAACATATAAGAGAAAGATATAGAAGCATTTAATATTAGGGAAAAAATGTATTTCCCTGTCACAAATATGTGTGCTAATATTTAGAATGCCTGCGATTTTTATAATAGAGAACACAGAAAACCTATTTCAAAATGCCCCCAGATAAGAGAAAGTTAAATTGAGTGTTATCTTTGTCCAATTTTAATGTCATTTAAAAATGGAATCAGATCACTCTGCCCTCAGGGAAGCAATTACCAAGTGATATCCCCAGAGCTTAGCCAGAAACAAATATCCCCTTTTGTGATTGGGGGTTGGGAGTGAGTGTTATTAAACCTAATTGCTCAGGAAGATAAGACCCTTACCAGCTGATGGCTAGTAAACCCTCAGTATGGGTATCTGGATATATTTACTGTGACTCTGAAAAGGCGCATGGTTCTTAATAAGATGTCAGTTAAACAGGCCACCAGTTCCTGTACTCTCTTGCCCAAAACCTCCAGCCCTGAAAATGCTACATAATTAAAAATTAATGGAGTCTACACACAAATCACCATCAAAGATATAAAACAAAACTCTGAAAAGCCCTGAAGAAAACAGAGGTAGCTGGGTTCCGGAGTGAGGGATGGAAGATGGCCACTTACACGTACACGAATGGAAGAGAGACCTTTCCACCTGTACCCGTCTCTTCACCAGCTGTGTCCTATATGGATCATTGCTGAAGCAGCAAGGCCAGCAATGGTTGGAGGCGCCATAACAAGACAGCGCTGTCGCCCAGAACTAACAAACTAAAAAAAAATTTAATTTCTCTGAATCTCCAGATAAAAACAGGACGAGATAGCAAAATCAAATCCCACAGATAATATTTGCAACAGAACGGAGTAGTGAGGCGCCCTCACAAACCCCACAATATAAGTGGGAGAGGAAAGAAAAACCACCAACCTCCACAGCCCTGGGGTGGACATCTAATAATTGTATCACAAGTCTAAGGAAGTCCAGCCTAAGGAAAGGAGCCCCCCACATGCCCACAAGTTCTCATTGGAAAATGTGGTGGACCATTTCAGAGCAGCAGCTGATTGCCCACTCCAGCACGGTCCGTGCACAGGCCTGCAGTAACTAGACCTGAGGGACAGTTTCACTTTAATCGTGTATAACAACAAAATAGCGAATGTTCTAGTAGTTCCTGATATATGTGCTTAGGCAAGTGAAAATCTACATAAGTAAGTATTACTAGGAATTGAAGCAAGACACTCAAAATCTGAGGATGTTTAGTTGCTGCATAAAGTTTGCAAAAGCATCTGACTGAACAATTTGATGTTATAATTTTAAGCTAGACAATGATAAAAATGCCTCATGTGCTTTCTGGTTTCTTAGAACAGCAAGAGCAAAAGGTAGAGGAAACCTTTTGAAAAAATTTCATTCCCAATTAGGGAATGTAAGTGTAAGGACATGATATAGAATAGTTCTTTGGCATTTGTCATTCCAAGTTTCTACCACTTTATCATCTACAGCAATTCCATACTCCAGGACAGGTCGCGATTTAAAATTTCTGAGGCCCAGACATAAACTGAAGCCAAGGTGCTGGTGAAAGTCATTGTGGCTAGATTTACTGCTTGCCTAGTATCACATCTCAAGAGACTCTTGCTCTTCACCCTTCATGCTTAATGGCTTTTGAAGGAGATATTAAATACCATAGTGGAGTTCACGAATTCGTGGATTCACAAATGTCTTAAGATATTTCTCAGTGTCAAGGATCTTTTGCATCTGTAATCTGTCTGGACATTTCTTACGCAAATGTGGGACTGAATATAAAGAGCTATCTTCTAGCTACAACTGGCTAGTGTTCCCTGCTTTCCATTAACACAATCATAGGAAAGGATGGTTAGCCTAGATTAAAGCATCAGACTCCAGCTGATATTCAAGTCTACAGAAAGTTCCTTTATTATATATATATAAAAAGTCTCACTAAAAGATTTCATAAACTGCTCAATTCCTTAAAAAGTCATTTTTTAAGTGTCAAACATAATAGATACACATACTTTGGTCTCTAACACCCCAATGTGCTTAACTGCACAATTCCTCCATATGATGAATAAACAAATTCCTATTTATTCATGTTGACTTGGGAAATGTTCTAATAATTGTATCACAAGTCAAAAGCAAGTAAGAGAGTTATGCATAGAAAAGAGTAAAATTCATTATCACATACTCATCAGTTTGCCTCTTAGCACATTTTTTTCTCTAGACTCAATTTCAATTCCCTATTATCCCAATATACTGCCTTGAGGAAGAATCTGCTTTTCTTAAAATTCAAGACTAAAAGAAATTCACTATAGCTTAAAGTAGTACTTACAGAAGATTAAAGTTAACCTCTTGATCCTTTATAAACTAAAAAAATTTCCAAATACTATAGAATTATGTGAAAAAATAAATGCCCTAGTCTATTTACTAATTTATTCTGTTTAATTTGCTAACTTTCCAAATCTTAAACACAAACACAGAATAGATTCCTTATTTACTAGAGAATGTTAACATTTTGTCTCCATTCTTAATAATAATTTTCCTAATTCTACTATTAGACCACTATAGAAGTTAAATTATATTTCAATTTTGGCTTGGCCCTGAAAGTTCTGAAACTTAATTCGCTGAAGTTTAAAATGATTCTAACTACTAATTCTGGGATTCATCCTTCAAAAACTATTTCAAATTATTAATTAAATCCTGTAAGAATTTCTTATTCTTTACTTATCTATCAGAATAGAAGTCTATTCCTATTGTTTTTACTATGCTTTTGTTTTCAAACATCCTTTGTTTAAATCTGAAATTACTGTTTTATAGTGTCAAGTGCTTCTGCATGATAAGGTACTGTTAGATTTATGTGAGAGAGTAATAAATCAACTAATGAAGATGCAAAATTCAGCAGAACTTAAAAACAGTAACAACAAGAACCCTGCACTCTGTTGCCAACTTTCAGGAGGAAAGAATAAATTATAAAGGCAATAATTTATTAGAGATACAAAAATAGCTTTCACAGTATGGCCAAGTACAAAATCATCTGACCCTAAGTATTTTCACAAATCATCATTATGTTAACTTCTTAAAAGGCCATATGATTCCAAGAGATTTAAATACATTCACATGCTATATTTACCATGTAAAGACAGTATAACACTATACTTTACAATGGTTTTAATGGTTTTTTTTTTGTTATTTGACTCTTCATTAACAATAAATCTCTCTATGGCTATGCTATGGCTTAGCATATGGCTATATGCTTTCTCATTAAAATTTTATTATAGCATGTTAATCGTAGTGTCTGGTTATTAGTTTTATTAGAGCATGACATTAAGACTTCAAACTATTTCTGATAAAGATCTACTATCCAGAATATATAAACAACTCTTACAACTCAAAGACGAACCAATTTACAATTATTTTTAATATTTTTAATTTCTCACACATTTCTCTGAATAAGATACATAAATGGCCAATAAGCACTTGAAAAGAGTCTCCATATCATTAGGTAAATATAAATTCAAACCACAATCTAATACCACTTCACATCTACAAGGGTGGCTATAATCAAGGTGAGAGGTAATAACAAGTACTGAGAAAGAGGTGAAGAATTGGAAACCTCACACACTGAAATACTTACACATACAAAACATGGATGAACCTTGACAGCACTGTGTTACAGAGAAGAAGCCAGATACAAAGGTCACCTACTGTATGGTTCCACTTACAAGAAATATCCAAAACACGCAAATCCATAAAGACATAGAGTGCATTAGTGGTTGGGCCAGAGGCTAGGGAGAGAGAATAGGGCTCTTTTGAGGGGATAAAAATGTTCTGAAATTAGACAGTGTTGTTGATGGTTATAAAACTCTATCAATATATAAAGACCACCGAATTACACACTTAAGGAAAGATGACTTGCATACTGAAAATGACAAAGCACTGTTAAAAGAAATTAAGAAGACCTGAATAAACTGAAAAATGTCCTGTGCTTATGGACCGGAAAACTTAATATTGTTAAGATGACAATAATCCCCAAATTAATTCACAGATTCAATATAATCCCTATCAAAATTGGTTTCTAATGTTTATTTTTAAGAGAACACAAGTGGGGAAAGGGCAGAGAGAGAGGGAGACAGAATCCGAAGCAGGCTCTACACTGTCAGCTCAGAACCTGATGCAGGGCTCAAACTCACAAACTATGAGATCATGAGCCCCTGAGCGCTTGGGGCACCTGAGTGGCCACTCAGTCAGTTGATGGTCTGACTTCAGCTCAGGTCATGATCTCGAGGTTCAAGAGTTTGAGCCCCATGACAGGCACTGTGCTGATACAGCATAAGTAACAATAGGAAAAAAAAAATTGCACTTCATCAAAATTTCAAAATTTCTGTGCTTCAAAGGATACTATCAACCAAGTATAAGGCTAATCCACAGAAAGGGAGAGAATATTTTCAAATCATGTATCTGATAAGAGCCTCATATCCAAATGTATATAAAAAACAATAAAAAGACAAATAACTCAGTTTTTAAACTGGCCAAAGGATCTTGACAGATATTTCCATAAAGAAGAGCTACAAACTGCTAACAAGCACATGGAAAGATGTTCAACATCACCAGTAACCGGAAATGTATATTGAAACCATAATGAGAAACCACTAGGATGGCTATAATTACAAAAACAAGTGTTGATGAGGATGTGGAGAAATCGAAATTCTTGGGGCACCTGGGTGGCTCAGCTGGTTAAGTGTCTATTTCAGCTCAGGTCATGATCTCTAGTTCACAGATTCATACCCCCATATCGGGCACTGTGCTTACAGCCAGAGCCTGGAGCCTGCTTCAGATTCTGTGTCTCCCTTTCTCTTTGCCCCTCTCCTGCTCACACTGTCTGTCTGTCTGTCTCTCTCAAAAATAGACATTAAAGAACATTAAAAAAAAAAAAAAGAAACTAGAAATTCTTATAGCTGGTGAGAACATAAAATAGCACAGCTGCTTTGGAAATAGTCTGGCAGTTCCTCAAATATAAGCACAGAGTCACTACCACCAATTCCACTCCTGATTATACACCCACGAAAACTGCAAACAGATTACAACAAAAAAGTGTGTACACAAATATTCAGAGCAGTATTATTCACAATAGCCAAAAATGGAAACAATCTAATTCAATCCATTGATAAAAAGCAAAAAGTGATAAATTGACACCATGAAATATTCGTCATAAGAAGAAATGAAGTATTAATACATGCTACAGCATGGATGAACTCTGAAGACGTGATAAGCCAGAAAAGGCGACATATTGTATGATTCCATTTCTATGAAATGTCAAAAAGAGGCAAATCCTTAGAGACAAAATGCAGATTAGTTGCCAGGAGCTATAGAGAAAGGGAAAGAGGAGTGACCCGAGCATGGGCATGGGGTTTCTATTTGAAGGGATGAAAATGTTGTGGAATTAGACAGTGGTGATGGCTGTACAACTCTGTGGATATGCTAAAAATTACCGCATTGTATACTTATAAAAGGATGAGTTTTATCATGTGAATTATATCTCAATTTCTAAAATATATACATTTTGAACATTAGCTACGTGGTGGTTTCAGTTACTTAAAGACATACCACATTTCTTTTCCGTAGTCTATCCTACATAATCCTTTTCTATGAAGAAATATACCGGCATAATTACTGTGCCAGAATAGTAAGAGGAAAGCATTAATACGACTAAAACCAATTTCAGAGTAAATTATTAAAAGTCGCTTTTAAGAATGCCCATCTTCCACTAATCTTACCAATTTTCAAATCATCAGCCAGACTTTCCTTGGTGAGATTCAACAGTTCTCTTCCATCAATGTTATTCATTTTGAAAATACCAACAAGGTCATTTAAACCTTGTGCACAAAGCCACACGGAGACATCATCCTCTGACCAGTCTTCAGGAAATTGCTTTGTCTCCTCTTCTGTGCTCCTTGCTTAAAAAAACAAAAACAAAAAAAAACAACCAAAAAACCCACAAACAAAAAGGCAGTTAAAAAAAAAAAGAAAAAAAAAAGGCAGTTAAAATAACAATGAAGGAAAGTACTGCCTTTATGAATATTCTCAGTGAGAATTAAAAAGTAAATAAAATTTCCTTAAATCTGTGTTTTACTATTTTAACATCCTTTTAAGAAATTTCAAAATATCAAATAACACTTTGTATAGTTAAAATATTATTTCATGCTACATTAAATACTACTCCTTTGGAACTGTTCAGTCTAGAAAAACAAACTTTTTATTGTATAAAATTTGAATCAGCAAAAGTACACTATTTGCTCTACTATCTGCATATCAGCACCACTATTTGGTTAAGTCTGACAGTGATAAAAGTAAAACACCTAAATTATGTGTCAATATTGCTTGATGAGGCCAAAAAATAAAACGAACAAAATAAAACTTTGCTTCTATTTTGTTCTCAGGCTATATTTATCTGAAAAAACAGTATGCAGTACAAATAGTTTACGAAACTGTGGGAGGTATGATATCCATGAAAAGTGCTCCCAGAAGGATTTACTAACAGCTTTAACATATATAAACTACTTGAAACACTGGCTTCTCTAAAATTATTTTAAAATTATATTAAATTTAGATATAGGGGCACCAGGGTGGCTCAGTTGGTTGAGCGACCGACTTTAGTTCAGGTCACCATCTCATGGTTTGTGGGTTTGAGCCCCATGTCGGGCTCTAAGCTGATAGTTTAGAGCCTGGAGCCTGCTTCAGATTCTGTGTCTCCCTCTCTCTCTGCCCCTTCCCTGCTCATGTTGTGTTGTTCTCTCTCTCTCAAAAATAAATAAAAACATCAAAAAAATTTTAAATTCGGATAAACACTTCATATTGAGAAAGAAACAAAGTGAATAATTTGTTAAAAATTATGTGACCTAAATTTTTTTTAATGTTTATTTTAATTTTGAGAGTGAAAGACAGTGTGTGAGCAAGGGAGGGGGCAGACAGAGAGAAGGAGACATAGAATCTGAAGCAGGCTCCAGGGTCTGAGCTGTCAGCACTGAGCCAAACTCAGACCTTGAACTTGTGAACTATGAGATCATGACCTAAGCTGAAGTTGGATGCTGAACCGACTGAGCCACCGAGGTGGCTCAAAATTATGGGATTTTTAATTTGATGGTGAATGGGATTGAACTGAGTTAAATATGATGCCCTTACTAACCTTGGCAAGGTGTTTCCAGATCAAATTGCCAGATGTTCACTGTTTTGTCCATTGAACCAGTAGCAAGTAAAAGGATATTGGGTGCAAAGGCACAAGTTGTGACATACCTAGTTAATAAAAACAACTATTATATATCTTTAGACTAATTTTTTTTTTATTATGTTAACACAAAATGAGATTAAGTTCAGACCTGGTATGCTGAGTCAATGTGTGAAGTACATTCTCAGTATTCTGAAAAACAATAAAAACAGCTTTATAATTACTCAGGCAGGAGTAAAGTTACTGATAAAGGCTCATTTGACATAAATAGTTTATACACTCTAAGCATTTTATTGTAATTAGTCACTAATGTAAGTTGAAACCTTACCCAGTGAAAAGAGAACAGCCTCTATAACTAATATTTTTATCAAGTAGTTACTTCACTCTCAGTAATTAGCACTGTTGTCTGCTGACCACCTTCCTACAAATTTTTAATATAATAGATTCTGGGCTTCTGCTGATTTATTTGAATTTACTAACAGTAACCTAAACATCTATTAAATGAAATGACCTCTTATTTTTGCTATGGCATTTGACTTGTACCCATTGCAGGAGAAGAGAAATTAGTCACTTAGATTTTGAGTACACTTAGCTGGCTGTCTAGCATCTAGATGTATTTATTAATTTTAAAAAGTGAAGTATAATTAACAGTGTTATATTAGTTTCAAGTGTATAATTAGCTATGTTTAACTGAGAGTCATATACATATTTTATGGAGAAAGTTTAGTGTTACAGCTATTTTTATGAATATAAAATCTTAAGAAAATTTGTTGAGAAACATTCAGGATCTACTTCACCTAGTTTGTATTCTTTCCCATCTCCTGCCAGGGCTCTCAGCAATTTGAGCTCCCATGTGGAGGACTGGTTTAGATTCCTTGATTGACCCACTACACTTTGATGATTTACATTTCTGTATCATTTGGTAGCACAGCTGCAGCCTGAACTCAATCATTATAAGTCTCCATTCAACACGCATTTCTCCTGAAGAATATTTTCATCAACCACATCTTCACTATATGTAAAATGTTCATTTTTCTTCATACTCATGCAACTTGGTCTTTATTCATATGGATCTACCAAAAACTGCCATTTTCCCAAGTGTGTTAAAACCTACTCTTCTTTCTATCAGTCTCTAAGCCCAGCCAGAACTCTACCAGTGGCAGGCCACTCAAAGCACACCTGTCCACAACCCTGGGGTAAATATTCATTCTTTGCTGTTATGGAAACCTGGTATAAAAGTTTAAGAATAATCAATTTGAAGTCATTTTTTTGGATACAGGTGCCCTTTAAATCTGTATGTTCTTTGATCAGATTAATCATCTATCTTAAGACATCTATCCATCTTAAAATTATACTGCAATATTTAAGGACCTGTCCCAGAACCAATAACTTGCATAACTATCTTAGCACTTTTGAGAATGTATATTCTTAGGCACTCTAATCAGAAAAAAAAGTATTTATCTGTCTTGCCTAACTAAACTTGAAGTTCAGTAGCTAAACATAATTTGCATATATCACACACACAAGATTTTGAAATACTTACAATATCATACACTATGACAGATTTATCCACTGATCTTTAAAAGAAAAGAAAATTATAGGTGAGAAGTTCCATAAAAACAAAGTAGTGCTTATTAATATTTTTTAGTCATTTAAATAACTTTTTTAGAAAAGGCTGAGATACTGATATACAAGCATTTAGAATGCAGGCTTTTTGTTCATATGTATGAACTCTTACTCAAAAAACTACATGCCACATATAAAATTTTTCAGAAAATTATAAACTTTATTAAATACTAGCATATGCTATTTATACCATTTAGCCATAAACAGAGTAAGCATTTATGACATATATGTATATATGCTATTTATGATACACATGTATAAATAAGACACAATCCCTATCAAGTTAATATCTCAAAGGGAGAAACCATTACAAGGGAAAGCTATTTATAACTGACCCTCAAACAATGAAAGGTTTAGAGGCATTGATTCTTTTCCCCATACAGTTGAAAATCTATGTATGAAAAAGACAAATACCATAGGATTTTACCCATATATGGAATTTAAGAAACAAAATAGATGAACATAGGGAAAAAGACAGAGAGAGAGAGACAGACAGACGAGGGGGAGGGAATGGGAGGGAGAAGAAGCAAACCATAAAAGACAACTATGGAGAACAAACTGAGGATTGATGGAGAGAAGTGGGCAGGGGATGGGCTAAATAGGTGACGGGTATCAAGGAGGGCACTTGTGATGAGTACTGGGTGTTATATGTAAGTGCTGAATCACTGAATTCTATACCTGAAACCAATATTATCATATATGTTAATTTCTAATTAGAATTTAAATTAAAAATTTTTTTAAAATAAAAATATATGCAAATGTCTCTCTATCTATATGAATATATTCATGAATACATGCACGAATCACCAAAATATTCTTGTTAAAAGTGATGCTATAGGACAATTCAAATCTCACTAAAAAAAAAGTCCACGTATAACTTTAGACTCTTCAAAAACTTAACTACTACTGAGCCTCCTGTTGACTGGAAGGCTTACCAACAACAAAGGGTTGATTAACACATATTGTGTATGTATATGTATTCTTACAGTAAAGCTAGAGAAAATAAAATGTTAAGAAAATCTTAAGAGAAAATACTGTACCGTACCCCCAAAAAATCTGCATATAAGTAAAGCCATGCAGTTCAAACACATGTTGTTCCAGGATAAACTATACTTGTTACTCGGCTTTTGTTTCAGACATCATTGTTCTTTATCACTAATATGGCCATGACTTAATTACTAATCTCTCTACACACACACACACACACGCACACACATACGTACATCTTGTGACTCATTTCTGAAAACTAATTCTAAACTTGGTATGAACTCTGCAAGGTTTCTTTTAATAGTGTAGAATTAAAAACAGCCATCTGGGATTATTCTGCTGGTAAAAATAACCAAACAAAGAAAAATGCAAATATTATAACAAAGTACACAATTAACAATAGATAAATGTGTTTCTGCATAGTTTTCTTCCCTCTTTAAAAAGTCTTTATGCCACCATGAAATATGCTACCAGGTAGGATAATACAACAATACAAGTGTTACTAATGTCTGTACAACTTTAATAATATTTGTACTTATTATTATTAAAAGATAGTGGATAAGAGGCCACAGGAGTCATACCTACTGGAGGGCTTAAAATTCCTTGTTTAGTGCAGTTATCCAGGGTAGAGGATGGATTTTGACATCAGAATCTTTGTTACAAGTTCAAAATAGGAATTAACACTTTAAATGTTCAAATGTAAAATAAAATACAAGAAAGTGGAAAGCATGTGAATATATTCTGGTTATCAAAAACAGTTACAGAATTAAATGTTAAGTTCCAGCCAAAAAACAGTGAAAATATTAGAAGCTAACACTATTTGAGTACATATATGCTAAACATAATTTGTGGATACTCTTAGTCCTAAATTCCTCAAGGTACAAGGTATGATGATCAGAATATATAAAATTAGGGAAAACTCTGTTACTTCTGAGCATCCTAAAAAAGAAAACTAAAAGGAAATTCCACCTTCTTAGACTACACATAGTGCAATTAAAACAGACTCATCCTAATACTATAGCATTTGAAAAGCTGGACCATCATTAGTAATCTTTATGAGCATCATATATATGGAAGACAGAAATAAGGACATCAAGCAAGAGTCCACGTATGAGAATAGCATGAAGTAAGGCCAAAATGTAGACTAGAACAAATATACAAAGCACCCAAGAAATTTAAACAATCCTGTAGTCAACAGATAGCCAGCCATGAAGGCACTTGCTATTGAGGTTAAAAAAAAAAAAAAAAAGAATCTGAGAAGCAAAAAGCCAAACGTGAAGATCTCCTAAGAGTCTAATGAATCCAAACAAGAAGAATGGAAATTATGAATGAAGATCTGTGAGCTTAGGAAAACAAAAAAGATTGTCAACTCATCTCCTATAGCCTCTAATTTGACTAATGGGATTCAAAGAAAGATACAATAGGATTTGATAGCTGATTAGATTTGGTGGAAGGAAATTAGGATTAGGAAAAAATAATAGTTTCTAATATTTGAGATTTGAGTTGGAAAGGCCAGGAGAATAAGAACCATTGTAAACAGACACAAAATAAAATACTTTGAAATCAGTCAGGCAATATGAAACCTCAAAATATTCCCTAAATTGAACCTAAACCAACACCTTACAAGAAGTCCAATTGCCTGGTACTCCTGGTTATACATTTCCTGCCTGCTTTATGTAACTCTTTTCCCAACTTTTCATAACCACATTTCACCACAATCTGCCCCATCACTTTAACTCCACATTTCCCTATAAAGGAGGTATGAGTATTCAAGCCTTTTGATACTGCATTCCTTCAGTTTTGTGGCACTCTAAAACCTCAACCTTGCTCACTCCAGACTACAAGACAAACATGTCCATTATATGTAGGTGGTTACTGGGTGAGAGCAACAATGCATATAGTTATGTGTTTGATATGGGGGAGCATATAATCATAGACTTATGGAACATCAGTGATATTACAGTGAAGTTGTACAACCACCCATATCAGAAATCACCAAAGCATTTTAATCTAAACTAGCTTTATACAATGGCCAAAAAAAAAAAAAAGACCAACCTAATCAAATGAAGTTACCAATGTTTCTTTAGGTCAAGGTGTGCCTAAGGTTTAAAGATTTATATTACACTAAAGCAAGCATTTTTATTTTAAATGTATTTATCTATGGGGGTGCCTGGTGGCTCAGTTAGTTAAGCATCTGACTCTTGATTTTGGCTCAGATCATGATCTCTGGGTCATGAAATCAAGTCCCTTGTTGGACTCTGCGTGCTGAACACGGAGCCCGCTCAGGATTCTCTCTGCCCCTCCCCCAATTGTGCTCTCTCTGTCAAAAAAAAAAAGGGGGGTATTTATCTATATTTCTTCTCATTCAGAAAGTATTTGCAGCCTCTTACAAAGATGTAGCAAAAAGAAGGTAAAAAATATGTAAAGCACCTGGAGAGGAAGAGAATACAAAGATAAGGCGGGGAAGAGAAATAAAGATTAAGATTAGTGTTCACAATATACGTCATAAAATCCAGTCTACCTTGCCAAAGGAGGGCTGCAAGTTGGGTTCTGAGTTTCTTCAGCAATTAAAAAAAATGTAGAAACACAAACTCAAAGTTTGGAAAAGAGACATCAATTCTTCAGACTAAGACCTGAAAGAACTATTTTCTTATAGAGAGGATACTATGACACAAAGTCCTCAACAACTCGTTCAAAGAAACACGGTTTATTTTAAACAGCTGTTTTCTAATGCCCCTCAGTATAGGCCAATGGTGGAAACTTAGAGCAGAAATCAGAAAATGAGGAAGTAAAATGTTATGTTTTGTAACTGTCCAATGTTCTGGATTACATAAGAAAATAATATATATAATGTTTAATGAACATGTATAAACAATTATTATGCCCCCAAGATAAATAATGCTTTCCCGGCATCTTTTTTTAAGTTTTATTTTGAGAGAGAGAAAGCACACAAGCAGAGGAGGGGAAGAAAGAGAATCCCAAGCAGGCTCCACATATCAGTGCAGAGCCCAACATGTGGCTTGATCTCATGAACCAGGAGATCATGATGTGAGCAGAAACTAAAGAGTCAAGATACTCAACTGAATGAGCCACCCAGGCATCCCTGGCATTTTCTTATTTAAGCTTCATAACAAACTTAGGAGGAAAGTGTTATTTTCTCTAGCTTATAATTCAGAGAAGTGAAGTTGAGATAAGATATGGAATTAAAATTTGTTCAAGGCTGCACAGCTAGTAAATGGCAGGGCTGGGATGAAAACCAGTTCTATGTGATCCCCAAACTCAACTTTTTGGATTTTATTTCCTAGAACATCATCCCCCTTGAATGTATTCATAATGGGGACATATCCTGATGGTTTTAGCCGAAAAACACAAAAGGCAGATGGCATGGCCATTCATATTTCATTAAAGCTTTCACAAGACATCTAATTTCAAGCAATGCAATATCTAATTTTATTTTTATCTATTTATCTAATGATAAATCACCATCATGTACTTTTAGGCTACTAAACGTACTGACCCGTTCTATAGGATTATAAACAATGTCGTAAAGAGAATACAGGGGAAAAAGATGATCTGTTTTGGAAGAGTGATCTGAAGCCTTACACTAGTCATTACTGAGCAAGAGAAGGTTGTTTGTTAAAGCCACACCAAATTCATGACAATAAAACTCTATCCTTTACATTTATAAAATAGATAAAATATAAACAAACATCTTGTTGGGATGAGAGGGTACACTTCCCAGTCTTTCTGGAATAAGGCTCCTGGCCTCTCTTGTCCCTCTCCTGCTTAGCAAAAAAGAATGACAGATGGCTGGAAAGTTTGGGGGAAGATACTGGGCCATTCAGCTCCATCCTTCTAGATTTTCTCTTTTATCTCATCTGCCCCTGCAGGGGAAGTCTGCAGTGGGGCTACCCAAGAGCAGGTGAGCAAGTCAGCTGCAAATCCATAGGAATGTCATCCAGTC